TCGCCACAGTATTCCTAGCTTCTGACCTGCTGTTGTAGCCACTGTGTTTACGTAGGGAGTCCAGTTGAGTTTCTGGTCAATGATAACCCCCAGGATGTTGATCGTGGGAGATTCAGTGATGGTAACACCAATGAATGTCAAGGGATGGTGGTTAGATTGTTTCTTATTGGATATGGTCATAGCCTGGCATTTGTGAGGTGCGAATGTCACTTGCCGCTTGTCCGCCCAAGCCTGAATATTGTCCCAGATTTTGTTGCATTTGAACAGGGACTGCTTCAATATCTGAGGTGCCGCAAATGGTGCTGAACATTGTGCAATCATCGGCAAACATCCCCACTTCTGACCTTATTGTGGAGGGAAGTCCATTGATGAAGCAGCTGAAGATGGTTGACCCAAGGACATTATCCTGAGAAACTCCTGCAGAGATGTCCTGGAGCTGAGATGATTGGCCTCCAACAACCACGACCATCTTCCTATGTGTCAGGTATGACTCCAACCACCAGAGAGTTTGCCCCGTGATACCCATTGATTCCAGTTTTGCCAGGGCTCTTTGATGCCACACTCAGTCAAATGCAGTCTTGATGTCAAGGGCTGTCACTCACACCTCACCTCTGGAATCAAGCTCTTTTATCCATGTTTGAACCGAAGCTGTAATGAGGTCAGGAGCCAAGTGGCCCTGGCGGAACCCAAACTGGGTGTCACTGAGCAGGTTATTGCTGAGCACGTGCTGCTTGATAGCACTGTTGATGACATCACTTCCATCACTTTACTGAGGATCAAGAGTAGACTGATGGGGTGGTAATTAGCTGGGTTGGGTTTGTCCTGCTTTTTGTGTACACGACATACTTGGGCAATTTTCCACATTGTCAGGTAGATACCAGTGTTGTATCTGTACTTGGCTAGGGGAGTGACAATTTCTGGAGCACAAGTCTTCAGTACTATTGCTGGAATGTTGTCAGGGCCCGTAGCCTTTGCAGTATCCGGTATCTCCAACTGTTTCTTGGTATCACGTGGAGTGAATCAAATTGGCTGAAGACTGGTATCTGTGATGGTAGGGACCACTGGAGGAGACCGAGATGGATCCACTCAGCACTTCTGGCTGAAGATTGCTGCGAATGGTTCAGCCTTATCTTTTGCACTGATGTGCTGGGCTCTTCCAACATTGATGATGGGGACATTTGCAAAGCCTCCTCCTCCAGTGAGTTATTTAATTGTTCACTACCATTCATGACTGGATGTGACAGGACTGCACAGTTTAGATCTGATCCGTTGGTTGTAGGATCACTTAGCTCTGTCTATCACTTGCTGCTTTTGTTCTTTGGTGTGCAAGTAGTCCTGTTTAGTGGCTTCACCAGGTTGACACCTCATCTTCAGGTATGCCTAGTGCTGCTCCTGGCATGACCTCCTGCACTCTCCATTGAACCAGGGTTGATCTCCTGGCTTGATGGTAATGGGTGAGTGGGGGATATGCCGGATCATGAAGTTGCAGATTGTGCTGGAGTACAATTCTGCTAAGAGTAGGCTAACAAGAAATACAAAAACAAGCAGGAAAGCTTGTACATTTATATAAAAAAGGAAGAAGGCACTAAAGTGAATATTGCCCCTTCAAAGGGCGGCACTGGAGAATTAATTTTAGAAAGGAGAAAATTTATTAGGAACCAATCGGGTGCTGCAGGGATCAGTCTGGGGCCTCAGCTGTTTGCGGTCTTTATTAGTGACTTGGTTGAAGGGCTGCATTGTAGCCTAATTTGCTGATTATATGGAATTGCGCAAGAAAGCTAGTTAATGAGAAGAACGTACAGAATCTGCAAAGGCAATGTGAATAGGTTAAGAGACAGCAAAAATTTTGCAGATGGACTGTAATGTGAGACAATATGAGATTATCGATTATGGTAGGAAGAACAGAAAATTGAAGTATTATTTAAATGGAGAGAGACCACAGAATGCTGTAGTTAACAGGGAATTGGATACCCTTGTTCATGAATCACAAAATAGTAGCCTGCGTACAGTGAGGAATTAGGAAGGCAGATAGAATTTTGGCCTCTATTGCAAGGGTTTGCTGTGTAAAAGTTGGGAAGTTTTTCTACAAAAGTGCAGCGTGTTGGTGAGACCTCACTTAAAGTGCTACATCCAGTTGTGGTCTCCGTTTTTACAGAGGGATTTATTTCCATTGGACGCAGTTCAGACCAGGTTCACTCATCTGATTTCTGGCATGAAGGGGTTATCTTATGGGGAAAGGTTGAACCAAAATGAGAGGTTATCCTTTTAAGATGGAGATGAGCAGTTGTAATATTGAAGACAGAGTTAGATAGAATTTTCATCTAAAAAAAGAGTTAAGAATTATTGGGACGCAGGATGGTAGGCAGGAAAATGGAGTTAGGGCATTTTCAAATTAGCCGTGATTTTATTGAGTGTCAGAGCAGGCTCAAGTGCTGAAAGTCTCCTGCTTTTATTTCTCCTGTCCTTAATTCAGTATCTGTGTGTTAGGGAAGGGTGCAAAAATACAGCACAAAAGGAGTGAAAAGGTGCGTAACCAAAAGGAACTGGAAAATTAAAATTCCTTTATAGGTTTTATTTCTAAACTGCAGTAAGTAGTAAGCTAGGAAAGTGTGGGATAAGTAATTAGTTTAGAGCATATCTACTGTCTAAAGGAATGCACAGCAAGTAAAATGATATTACCCGGAACTTTACCATAAATTAACAAAATGTAAAGAGGACTTAATACCTGAAACAGTTTGTACAGTGAAATTAATGGTAAGTTTATGAAAAATATGCCCTGTTTCAGGATGGGATTGAAAATTCTTGTGTTGTTGTGTTAATGGTCGTATTTAGGTTTATTTTAAATGGTGTAAATCGATATTAAAATTAGAACATGGGAATTCAATACGTTTGCATGTAGTTATCAGCAGCTCATATTGTTTATACATTTTTAAAGAACTGAACTCTGATATGTTCAATTAGTAAAATTTTCATCTTGTTGGCATTACATTTTCTAGCTTTGCTAAGATTTCAAAGTATATTTATACATAGAATACTTTATTTGAATTCAGTAAAAAAAAAGACTGCTCAGAGTGCCAGACACAACGCAGTGTGGAGCTGGAAGAACACAGCAAGTCAGGCAGCACCAGAGGAGTAGGAAAGTTGACGTTTTGGGTCAGGACCCTTCTTCAGGACTGAGAAGGAGAAAGGAAGCTGGGAAATAAATAGAAGGAGGAGGGGTGGGACTGAGGAAAAGTAGGTGGGATGGTGATATGTGGATGCTGGTAGGGGGTGGTGGGGATTGGTCAGTGGAAACGGTGGGCAGGGTAGGTGGGAGAGAAGACGGACAGGTTGTGTCAGGTCAAGGAGGCAGGAATGAGAGGGAGGTTTGGATGTGAGATGAGGCCGGGGGTGGGGAGATTTTAAAACTAGTGAATTCTATGTTGAAGCCATCGGGCTGTAGGCTCCCAAGGCGGAATACAAGGTGTTGCTCCTCCAGTTTGCATGTGGTGTCATTGTGGCCCTGGAGGAGGCCCAGGATGGACATGTCACCCAGGGAGTGGGAAGGAGAGTTAAAATGGTTAGCGACCGGAAGGTGTTGTCGATTATTGCATAGAGTGCAAATGCTCAACGAAACGCCTCAATGCTGACATCTGTTTCAAACGCACTGACTCCCATAGCTACCTGGACTACACCTCCTCTCACCCACCCTCCTGCAAGAATCCCAATTTCTCCGCCTCCGCCGCATCTGCTCCCAAGATGGAACGTTTTCACTCCCAGACATCCCAGATGTCCTCCTAATCCAAGGACCTCTGGTGATCAAAAATGGCCTCAACCGCATCTCTTGCATTTCCCACACGTCTGCCCTCAAACGCCTTCCCCCCCCCAAACAAAAATAAAGACAGAGTCCCCGTGGTCATCACATGTCACCCCACCAACCTCCACATCCAGCGTATTATCTTCCGCCACCTACAATCCGATCCCACAACCAAAGAGATATTTCCCTCCCCACCCCTATCTGTCTTTCATAGGGACCACTCACTCCACGAATCCGTCATCCACTCCACACTCCTCACTAACCCCACCACACCCGACACCTTTCCTTGCAACGCAGGAGGTATTACACCTATCGCTACACTTCCACTCTCACCTCAATCCAAGGCCCAAAGCAAACTTTCCATATTTGACAGAGGTTCACCTGTACGTCTCCAACCTGGTCTACCATATCTATTGCTCCCGATGTGGAGCATCTGCACTCCGTACGCGATAATCGACAACCCTTCTGGTTGCTAACCATTTTAACTCCCCCTCCCACTCCGTGGGTGACATGTCCATACTGGGCCTCCTCCAGTGTCACAATGACGCCTCATGCAAACTGGAGGAACAACACCTCATATTCTGCCTTGGGACCCTACAGCCCAATGGCCTGAACATCGAATTCACCCATTTTAAAATCTCCCTACCACCCCCAGCCTCATCCCACATCCCACATCCAAACCTCCCTCTCATCCCCAATTTCTTGACCTGGCACAACTGTCCATCTTCTTCCCCACCTACCTGCCCCACCCATCCCACTGACCAATCCCCATGACCCCCTACCTGCATCCACCTATCACTATCCCACCTACCTTTTCCCAGCCCCACCTATCCTCCCTCTCGCCTCCTTGACTTGACACAACCTGTCCATCTTCTCGCCCACCTATCAGCCCCACCCTTCCCTCTGACCAATTCCCACCAACCCCTACCTGCATACAACTGTCACTATCCCACCTACCTTCCCCAGCCCCACCCCTCCTCTCTCTATTTATTTCCCAGCTCCCTTCCCCCTCCCCATTTCTGAAGAAGGGTCCTGACCCGAAATGTTAATTTTCCTGCTCCTGTGATGCTGCCTTCCTCCAGCTCTACACTGTGTTGCCTTTGAGTCCAGTATCTGCAATTCTTGCTATGTCCACGTTCAGAGCGGCGAACCTTTTCTGACACTTAAGGTAATTGCACATTAAAAATATAATTATCTCTTGCAGCAAGTAACATCTCAAACCGGTAAGGCTCAGTCACCACCTTTCGCCATAGGATCAAGTCACACATTCCCAGCAGACCCATCTACTTTCAGTCCCCTGTCCAGTCCTGTGTCTACATCTTCACCGGGAGGACCTTCTTATACCAGTCTGGCAAATCGATCCACTGGTTTTGGTAAGAACATGACTCATTGTAAACAGCGAGATCGTTCAGTCAACATCTTCTCAGATGAGTAGATCATTGTGTTACGTTAGTATGTGCTTAAGATTGCTAAAACATGCATTTTATGTATGAAGTAAAATTGCAGCTCTGCTCCACTACAATTGTGCTTGGACTCTTATGTATAAGAGAGATGCTGAATATTCTATTCACGTACAGAAGGGGTAAGGTCAATTTCTATTCTTGATTACAAATAACTGATGCATTATGCTGCATATTTGCATATGCTGAATCTGACTCCCATTTCCATTTTAACCTTTAGCCATTTGCAGCTTCGTAATTTACCAAAATCTTTTTCTCCTCTTTGATGTCCTTAATGCTTCCTTGTTATAAGTTTATGCTGTGTTAAGTGTTATGTTACCACTGTAGATTATTATTGCCAATACAATTTAACAATTAGATGAGAGCTTGCTGAATCCCTGTGAGTCAGAGAACTACAACAATAAGAGCTGAATGCCCTACTTGAGTTTTCTATGTTTCTGTAGTTCTTCGGGGGAAAGGGATCAAAACATCGGTGGAGAAAGTAGGAACAAGATACTGAGTTGGATCATCAGCCGGGATCTTGTTGAATGGCAGAGCAGGCTTGAAGGGCCGAATCACCTACTGCTGCTCCTGTTTACTATGTAGAACATCTTTAACATAAGTCTCGTAGCACACTCCCCAGAAGTATTATAAAACAAAGCATGGCATTAAGATGCATTAGGAGATGTGAGTCAATCTTAGTTTTTAAGCAGCCTTTTAAAGGAAGAAAGCAAGAGAGAGAGGAAAGAGGTAGAGGAAACGTATTCCAAAGCTTGGAGCCCGGCCACATAGTGGAGCACTTTTTACATTTTATACTCCTTTTCACCGTCTGTGTCCAGTGTGATGGACCGTTTCCTCACACTTTCTCAATGATGCATACATCTTTCGTTGCTGTGTCTCCACTCTACCATTTCATTGTAAAATATATTTATTTACCCTACTATTCTTAATTCTTTCTTCTTTCATTTCTTTAAAGCGAGGATACACTGGAAGATGGGTGGCAATAGGCTGAAGATAAATACTGGGATTGGATATAGATAGAAGTAAAAAAACAAGAGTTGATAATGGTTAGAATTGAGGTTACAGGAGGGAGTTGAAAGGATTACTAGTTGGGCATGCTTGTTATGGAATCAAAAATCAAAGGCAAAACACACCTCACTGCAATTGTAGGAGGAAAGAAGGAAGAAAAGAAATTTTTAAAACTTCATTGCGTTTTATAGGACATTGTGTGGCTCAGAAAACCAAAGGGCACTTTACAACAAATGAATATGACTAAGTATAGTCAGTTTTGTTGTGTGAGAAGCCAATTTTCACATGACAGTGTCATAATAACCCCAATCATCTGTTTTAGTGGTGTTGATTGATTCATAGATTTGTTAGAGTGCATTTGGTCCATCTGTCAAGGAGAGGAGTAAAAATATCTCGCTTCAACTATATAGAACCTTGTGAGACTACAGCTGGAGTATCATGAGCAGTTATAGTCCCCTTGCTTGAGGAAACATATACTTGCTATAAAATGATTGCAGCAGAGGTTCTCTGGACCAACTCCTGGGATTGTGCATCTATCCTATGCAAAGACATTGAGGAAACTGGGCCTATATTCTTTCTGGAGCATAGGAAAATTTTAAAAAGCTCAAGAGATGGATGATAAAAGGATGATTCCTCTGACTTTGAGGTCTAAAACCAGAGAATACAGTTTCAGAATAAAGGGCAAGTCGTTTAGGAGCAAGATGAGAAATTTATTCAGTCAGAAGGTGGTGAACCTTTGGAATTCTCTACCCCAGAGAGCTGTGAAAGCTCAGTTGTTGAGTATGTTAATGACTGAAATTGATAGATTTCTAGATGCTCCTGACATCAACGGATTTGAGGCTAGTGCTGGAAAATGGCATTGAAGTAGATGATCTGCCATGATGATCAAGAATGATGGAGCAGGCATGAAGGACTAAATCTTTCTCCAGCGTTCTTGTTTGCATTGCTTACCAAATGAGCAGTTTACATCTTGCCATTGCTTGTCTTCTGTCCATAACCCTGCACATCCTTCCTTTTCAGATTATGTTTTAACTCTGAATGTCTCATTCAAACCTGCCTCCACTTCAAACCATCACTGTCTGCTTCCTGCCACTCAGCCAATTTTGGACCATTTTACCGAATTTTCCTGGATTCCATGGGTTCTTACATTCTCTATCAGTCTCCTGTGCAGGACCTTATCAAAAATCTTACTGAAGTCCAAGTAGACAACATCAAAAACATTGACCTCATCTACACACCTGGTTACCTCTTCTAAAATGCAATCAAGTTGGTCAGATATGATCTCTCTTGGATAACAATACCATGCTGACTGTTGTTGATTAATCCTTGCCTCGCTAAATGGCAATGATCTGTCCCTCAGAATTGCTTCCAATGGTTTCCCCACTACTGAGGTTGGACTGACTGCCCTGTTTTATCCCTTGCTCCTTTCTTGAATAAAACCATAAGATATAGGGGCAGAGTTAGGCTATTTGGACCATTAGGTCTGCTCTGCCATTCAACCGTGGCTGATATATTTCTCAACACCATTCTGCTACCTTCTCCCCATAACCCTTGATCCCCATACTAATTAAGAGCCTATCTATCTTACTTAACCTATCTTAAATAACTGAATCTCTTGGCCTCCACAGCCCTCTGCGGCAATGAGTTCTGCAGATTAGCCACCCTCTGCCTGGAGAAATTCCTCCTCATGTCAGTTCTAAAAGGCTGTCCCTTCACTCTAAAATTGTGCCCTTGAGTCTAAGTCTCTCCTAGTAGTGAAAACATCTTCTCCATGTCCAGTCTCTTCAGGCTTCTCCATATTCCGTAAGTTACAATCAGATCCCCCCATCTTCTAAACTTTATTGAGTACAGACCTATGTTCTCAACTGCTCCTCCTATAATAAGCCCTTCATCCCTGGGATCATTCTTACAAACCTTCTCAGGAACTCCAGCACATCCTTCTGTAGATGCCATGCCCAAAATTGCTCACAATATTCCTAATGCAGTCTAACCAGAGCCTTTAAACAGCCTCAGCAATACATTCCTGCTGTTGTTTTCTAGGTCTCTTGAAATGAATGCCAACATTACATTTGCCTTTCTAACCATGAACTGAACCAGCATGTTAACCTTAAGAGAATAACAAACGAACCAAGTCCCTTTGTGCTTCAGATTTCCGAAGCCTTTTCCCCATTTAGAGAATAGTCCACATCTCTATTCTTCCTATCAAAGTGCATACTTTCCCACATTTCTGCCACTTCTTTGCGCACTCCTAGCATGGACAAGTCGTTCTGCAGCCTCCCCAGTTACTCAACACTTCCTGTACCTCCATCTATCTTTCTGTTATCTGCAAACTTGGCAACAATGTCTTCAATTCCTTCATCCAGTTCGTTACTATATAACATGAATAGTTGTGATCCCAGTACTGACCCCTCTGGAATTCCATTAGTCACCTGAAAAAGACCCCTTTATCCCCACTTTCTGCCTTCTGCCAGTCAGCCAATCCTCTACCCATGCCAGTATCTTGCCCTGAACATCATGGGCTCTTAATTAGCAGCCTCCTGTCTGAAACCCTGTCAAAGGCCTTTTGGAAATCCAAATAGATCATGTCTACTGGCTCTCCTTTGTCTAACTTGCTCATTATATTGTCTAAGGATAACGGTGAAATTGGAAATTTTTTGCAAACACCCCTGCTATTTCTTTCCTGTGTTCTGAGGCAGGGTCAACGGACCCGAAATGTTACCTGTGATTTTTTTCTTCACAGATGCTGCCAGACCTACCAAGCTTTTCTGGCAACTTATGCTTTTGTTTCTGATTTACAGCATCTGCAGTTCTTTCAGTATTTATTTCTTCCTTTGCCTCCCTCAACAACATGGGATACATGTCATCCAGGCCTGGAGATTTATCTACTTTTAAGCCTGCCAGTCCACTCAGAATCTCCTCTCTGTCAATGCTAATTTCCTTAAATGTATCACAGACCTTCTGCCTGATTTCTATACCTAGATCATTCCCCTGATTGGTGAACACTGACCCAGAGTATTCATTTAGAACTCTACCTACATCCTCTCGTTCCGCACACAAATTACCACAGTGCCCCTTAATGCGCCCTACCCTTTCTCTTGTTATACTTTTACCCTTAATATACCTGTAAAACAACTGAGGAGTTTCCTTTATTTTACTTGTCAGTATCCTTTCATATCCCCTTTTATCTCCCCTAATCTAGCTTTTAAGTTCCCTGTTGCACATTCTATATTCTACTAGGGCTCCTGCCATTTTGAGCCCTGCCATATGTCTTCCTTTTTCTCTCAATCCATTGCTGTACATCCCTCTATACAGGGTTCACACGATTTGATAGCCCCACCCTTTGTCTTTATTAGAACATGTTGGCCTTCTGCTCTCCATATTTCCTTCTTGAATTCACCCCACTGTCCTGACTCAGATTTATCTGAAAGTTTCTGCTCTCTGTCCATTCTGGATAAATCATATCTGACCTTATTAAAATCAACCTTCCCCAAGTTGAGAACTTTGATTTCAGGCCCATCCTTGTCCCTTTCCATTACAAGCTTGAATCTTCTTTGCACCAAGAGAGAACAACACCAACCTTGTCAACCTAATGTTGATGCTATATTTCCTCATCACTACGACTACTCTTGCAAATCTTTACTTCACCCACTCGAGGACCCCCGTCACATTATTCCTAAAATGTGATGACCAGAATTGGATCCTTGTTATTTCCTTCATTCACCATGAAGGTCCTGCCTTCTCAACCTTGTCCCTTGCCTGAGGCATGATGACCCTCAGGTTAAACTTACCACCAGCCATCTTGCTCTAATGAGACAGCAGCCCTATGGTCCTGTGAGACTTTGGCAACCATGTAAGCTTTGTAAAGTTTGAGTGAAACTTCCCTGCTCTTAAACATAAGTATTAAG